TCTGTAAAAGATGGTCTTGGCAGCATTATGCTGTGGGAATGTTTTACTTTGGCAGAGACAGGAAAGGTGGAAGATGGATGGATCTAAATACACGACCTGTTAGATGTTGAAAAAGACTTGAGGCTGGGGTAAAAGTTCACCTTCCACAACAAAGATGTCATTGCATTAGATCAAACCATATATATATGTGTAAGAATTATTCAAAATTCAGATCATGCCTGAGTTCAAACTTGCAAAATATGTTCACATGTGCTCCTATTTTAATGCAGCTCTAATTACAGCAAAATGTTTTCCTAAAAAGGAAGAATGAACTCAGGCAGCCTGAATGCAGATGCACTCCACACTTTTCAGAGCTTTTGTTTGTTAAACTTACATTTGTCCACTGCAATTCCACTTAATCCCAACAAAATACATTAAAACCTGTGATTGCAATTTTTAAAAAGCTGTTACATATTTTAGGAATAAAGAAAAATATTTTGTAAGACACAGTAGAGGAGACCGTGAAGTCACCTGCAGGTATTTAAAATCGTCTAAAAAGTCTGTTTTAGTGATTCTGTTTATCTTCCTGAATCTGCAGCGGGTCGGACCTTCCAATGAGAACAAATTGCTCTGTCTGCGCTTGTTAAACTCGAGGCATGCTGCTTTCTTTTCCAGCGTTGCACATGTGTGTGCCATTCTCCAGTGGCAGCGACGTGAGCATGTTTCTTCAAGCCCCCCACCCGTCTAAAAGAAATCCACAGAGGAAACAGGTTGAGAGGTCATGCCTGATCCATCTCCTCCCAACATAAACAAAGCGCTGACTTGTCAGCTCAGGAGGCGCTCGTCCTGGACAGCTCCTGTTGGTGCAACCCAGAGAATCCAGCTCCTTCTTCATTAGCTCCAATTAGGCTGTTTATGAATGAAGTCTCTGTGTAATGATCTAATTAGATGTCCTACAGCGATTAGTTCACAATAAATCATGTTAACATGTCTGAATGGCTTATGTGGGCCATTAAAGGTCGCATAGCTACTGGAACGTTACCATTCCACAGAGTATACGAAGCTGGGTGGGAAGTCTTCAGCTTTCACAGACTGCTATTGTCACGTCACGGCTGATTTACAACGCAGTTTAACTTAAACAGACCTAAGTGACAGGTCCTGCCATGATAGAAGATCTTCGCTTGTTAGTGCCTGAAGGCATGAAGGGATGAACCAGAAGACCCGGGGAGGGAAAATGCATTGTTAGGAATTATTAAATTAATGTTACGTGTGCAAAATGTACTAATATAGAATGCATTTGTTTAATTCAAGCTCATTAAAAATGTTTCATTTTATTAAAATCTCTCTTTTTTTTAAATAAAAGAAATGTAATCTTTTCCAATGAAGTAATACTTTATGAATTTAGATAAACATACCTCAGTAACCAAGACCGTACAATTACATATTTCATTTTTTAATTATATTTTACCTTTATGTCTCATTGAGATCCAAGATAAACCTGTTCTGATAAAACAAGTAGAGCAATAACAAAATAACAATAAGTATCTTTTGTATTATAAAATAAATCCTATACAATAACAGTGCTGCAAGCTGTAAACTCAACCAGATTTTTATTGGTACTGGATAAATTGTAGGAACCTTGTGAGCTTAATTTTCATTATAAAGCTTAAACAATTTGGCTAGTCAAATTTATCATAATCATAACCGAGTGTTACTTTAATAAAATACTAAAGTAGAGGTAAAAAGCAGTCTTACAAAAAATTCCTTAAAATTTAGAAATGATGCAGACTGATAAAAATAGAAAGAATCTGAGTACATCCTGACAATTCAAAGTGATAAAAATGATTATGAAAATGGAAAACAAGTAAAAAGCGTATTAGGGAATAACAAACACTGATTTGCAAATCTCACTTTTTCACAAATAAAAGCATTAAAACAAAGTGTCACCTACAGAGAGAGTAGGTAATGTGTGTAAGTTAAAACAGTTTTTATTTACTTGCCCTCCGATTCTTTGATGCAAAGTAAGAAAAAAAAGTACTAAAGTAAACACAATAGAGTAAATATAACTCACTAATCGCTTTATCTCAGCAGAAGATGACAGTGATTAAAATCTTGCATGTGGCACCAAATTATTTAACCCAGTTTGATAAAGTGACCACCTTTGTTTAGCAGCTAGCGCCACCTAGAGGTGGACAAGTATGACTTTATATGTCAGGGGAGGAATGCTGACGTTTTGATTTTCATTGTAAAAGAAACCTGTTTATTTCTTTTTTTTTATTTTAGACTTATCTTTAAGTGTTTGGTAGATCGCAAATGAAAAGGAGCTGTTTGATATTATAATGTAGCTGGTTGAGTCCTGCACTAAAAACCACCTGACTGATGCTTTCCTGGTGGAAAATATGAATATGATTCACTGAGGAGAATCCAGATTTCATGTAGTTCTCCTTGTACCTACAAATAAAAAGTTAAGACCTTGTTTGTCTCTAAGGCTTCCCAGATATACAAGCTGTGCCAAATGTCCTGATTAGACGTGTGCAACAGCTTATATTTGTCCTAACGGCTTCAAAAGTAGTTCATTCTGGAGTTTAGTTTTCCCTCAGGTGCAGGAAAGGAACATTTGCAGAGAAAAAACCCCACAGGTTCTACTTAAATACTCTCTTTTTATCTGTTTAAATATAATCAAATGCAGCATCGTTGACTGCGGTGCAGCCAAACGGTCCCTAAAGGGAAACTCTTCAGCTTCAGTTAACACAATAACTGAAAACTATTCAGTATTCATCAACACAACGCTCCTCAATTACTCTGCTGGTCCCACTGCTACTCCTCCATCATGAACATCAAGGGAAGACAAAATGGATTTTATCCTGTGAGCTGGAGGCACCAGGGACCACCCAGGCTTCCATCCGGCCGATTAACCCACCTCTCAGCCTCGGAGGTGAGGAGCATGCTGTGGGATCGATACTCTGGATGCCTTTGACATCCTCTCTGATGTGCTGATGGTTGCTGATGTTCTTTTTCCTTTCCATTTTTCCAATCTCCTTCTTCCCTGACTCATGACATCAGAGAGCGCTGCTGCACCTCAGGATGATGCAGGTTGGATTACCTCCAGCTGGGAGGAAGATTGATGTATCGACGTCCAGAACATAACTCACAAATCGAGCTCTTGGTTTCAGAGTTTTATATCTGACACATCAGGATTTTTTAAAAATATATAACTTATTTTTGTCATCATTCACCAGTCCATGGTAGGATTGCTAAGAGCATAAAACTGTTTAAATTTGAGTTCAACAACCTTATTTTACCCCTTTGTATAGGCAGTTTTATTACTTTGATTTTAAATGTAATCATTCTTATTAATTTTATTTTAGGCAAAATTTCTATATGTATAATTTGTTTATTTATCTGTTACACGTGTTTTTGTTTTAAATCGCCTCAAAATATTAGTAATTCTAAGTTTAATAGCCTCTATTGGCTAACCGGCCACTAGGTGGCAGCATAAGCCACAATTTTCCTGCAAATAAAGTGATAAGAAGTGAAGTTGAACTAACAGTAAAAAAACTGAAGTGGGTAGATGAGCCTAAATTTGAATTCAAGTGTATCATTACTTCAATATGTTGTTAAGCAAGTACAATTAACAAGAAATTATCCAAAAACATAACAAGTAAAAGTAAAATGTACTTGGTACGAAGGCTGAGTCAGAATCTGATCAATATCTGCTTAAATTTGCAGAACAATATGTATTAAAACACACAGAAACAAAATTTTGTGCAAATTCTGGTGTCTTACAATATGAAATATAACACAGACCTTTTTTTTTGTCAGAATAATGCCTAAATTAAGAAAACCCTTCATCATAAATAAACTTGTGGTAATGTGATCTTTTAATAATCCTCTGTCGATTACTTTCTGACATTCATAAGTCAAAAGGCAAAGGTCTGCTTTCATGCTAAGCTGAGGATAAATCCTAGAGGGAAGAAGTCTTTGTGTAATTTGAGCCTTTCTGACCTGAATCTGTCCATCTCGGGGTCTTCAGGTGGTCATGTGAAAGGTCAAAGGTCAGGTCAGGGTGTCTGTTGCAGCAGATATTCAGTTATCCAGACGACAGCTGAGCAGAGAGGCTGCTGTACTGTCAGACCGCTCTCCAAACTACAAACCAAACATTTCATTTTTGAACGCCTTTAAATCTTTTTTATTATTATTTTCAGCCAGCTAACTTTAGCTGATTTGACTCTTTCACTGTTTTTTTGTTGCAGAATTGACAAAATAAAGAAAACAGAATTTTGGATGAGCTACAACTGTCAGATATTTTACAGGTAAAGAAACCAGAACAACAAAATGTTGAAAGTTAACAGTTTGTTCTGGAAATCATTACTTTACTGGTGAAGTGATTTCACACATTCAGATAACTAAGAATTTGAATTGCAACTTGAATTTGCTTGGCTTTAGTAAAGATGGTGTTTTTCTTGCAACTCTTGAGAAATTAGCATCAGTGACTCACAGTTAGGGTTGTTAACTCACAGTCAAGGTTCTGGGTTTGATTCCCGGCCCGGGGTCTTTTTGCATGGAGTTTGCATGTTCTCCCTGTGCATGGTGGGTTCTCTCTGGGTACTCTGGCTTCCTCCCACCGTCCAAAAACATGACTATCAGGTTAATTGGTCTCTCCAAACTCTCCCTGAGTGTGTGTGTCCTGTCTGCCTCTGTGCTGCCCTGAGACAGACTGGCGACCTGTCCAGGGTGACCCCGCCTGGAACGTTAGCTGGAGAGGCACCAGCAACCCTCCCGACCCCACAAAGGGACAAGGGTGTATAGGAAATGGATGGATGGACTCACAGTTACTAAACAAGAGTATCTTCTTTTATTACAAAACACAAATCAACAAAACCATAAATAATTTATAACAACCTTTTCTGAGAATCTGTACTCTTTATAAACTGTACAAAGATAATTCATAAAATAAATAAATGCATTACTAGCTTAGTAATCAGACTAATTCCAGAGAGACAATATATTTGTGCTAATTGAACACAAAAATGTTGCTTGATGCTGACAGTATGGATCATTTAACAGAATGAAGATGTTTGTTTTTAGAAAACATTCTGGGGGAAAAATACATTTATGTTTCAAAAGGGTCTAAATTATGTCTGATAAAGAAAAGTCTTTGGTTGCTACAGTTTTATTTCATTTTTGTAAAAATCATTATTGTTTTGTTTAATCATGTAAAACAGGAAACAGCTTTGTTTGCACCATTTGTTGAGGTTTTAAACAAAAACATATTTGTCTTTTTCACCCGGCAGTAAAAACAGGGATCCATTAACTGTCAGTAAAACTTATTTTTAATGTAGCAGATAATAAGAGACACTGAACAAAGACACATGTAAGACTGGAAACGAGGTATAGCATGTAATACTGACTAAATAACTCTTGTTCCTCTTCTAATGTTTTCTGATCATTCTCCTGCCTTTAATCTGGACTTTAGAGTTGATTTATAGAGATGTTTTTTATGCTTCACGGGTTATTTGAGGCCTGCAGCAACACAAACAAAAAAAACTTGAGAAATCGAGGAAAAAATGCTGCTGATCCGTCTACTATGCAGTTTGCTGTTGAGGTTTATCTTCCTCAACTTTATGACATCACCAAATGACAAATTTGATCATTTCTTACATGAAACTTTCTATTACATAAAAAGTTCATTTTTGCTTTTTTTTTATGTCAGCTTTATGAATATTTTTTAACAGAAATTCTGGAACAGGAATTCAATTCTCATAAATTCTTGCATGGATAAAATGCAGCTAAGTTGCTCTGCTGTCTGTGGCAACAGTAAGTTCTGCTCTGCATAGGCAGTCAGCATAATTATCTGATGTAGAAATATTACAGCTTGAAAAATTCACAACAATGCTTCTGCATTATCAACTAAACATTTGGGTTATTTCACTGGTAGACATTTTCTCTTAGAGGAACCATGATAAAATTAGGCGTCTCTGTGATTCTCCATGTTAACACTTCAAAAAAATCTGCATTGTGTCTTTAAAGAAACTTTTCAACATTTAAAGTATCAACTGACCTGTCGGCACAGAATCGATCCTTTGAGGAAAATTTCACAAAATAACTCAAATTAGATTTTTTTTTTTATCTGAAAAAGATTTAACAGAAAGATCTTTATGGACACAAAGAGTCCCAACAAGATGGTTTTACTTGTCAGCTGCTTTATCTTCTCAAATAAGAGTGAGGTGTCCTGTAGTCCACTGTGAGAAACATGTTAAAACTGACATCAACATCATAATAATACTGATAATTGGGGGGAAAAATATGGATTTTATGCTATAAACACTATTTAGAAAAAAAAAAACTTTTCTCCTATTGCTTAACTGAAATTGACCCCAAAAGAAGAAACTGTCACTCATGTCTGAATGAACATTATTACTAATTTTATAATTCCTGGCACCTTCTATGTACAGTCTGAGCTACTTCCAAATGTTCCCGACCTTATATATAAAATATGGAGCATCACAGGGAATTGACATATTTAATGTTCTACCTGAGTATTAAATGTACCAGAAATACTGTAAACCTTCAAGAACACTTTCATTATTTAGAAGACTATCAAAAGGAAATAAATAATAAGTAAAAAGCTCTATACTAGGCTAATGTTTGAATTGTAGAGCAAAATAAATGATATTCTTTGTACTGTTGTCTGAACAAAAGATTATATTAGATGTATATCTTCAGACAAATTCAGGAGAAGCCTGGAAACATGAGCAGGTGTTTCACAGAGTCATGTCCTGAAAGGCTTCTCCTCACCCAGGACTCGGTCCAAAGCCGTTTGTCTTTTCACAAGTGAAGGAAAACTCAAAAATTCCTGCATCTTCCCAGTCAGTAGACAAGTCGAGGCACTGCGAAGGCATCGTGTTAAGATACCAACTTCTCTGGTGTCTTATCTTCCAAATCCAGTGTTGCACATAGATCCATCAAGTTCTGCACTGAGGATCCAGAGGAACCAAAAGGTTTGACGTCTGTGGTCCAGTCAGTGCCGTGAGGCTCCTGGATGGTGATCAGTGGTTAGGAGAGGATTGCAGGAACCCATCGTCTCCCACACAGGTTGTCCATGCTGGCCGAGCGTTTCCTGGCTGCTCGCCGGATGTCTTTGTATTTGTCATCACAAAGTCTGGAAATGGCCTTTGGAAAGAGGGGGAAAAATCCAGTAATGATGAGAGAGTTTTGTTTTTGGTACAGCAGGACACACATTTCGTCATAGTTAAGCCACTGAGGTTATTTTGTAGAAATGTAACTAAGAATCTATTTTTTTATTGTTTTAATGATTTGCTACACTGAGGATTAGGGCCAGTGAAAAAAATAAAAAAAAGTTGGAATTCTGAAATCATTTTTTTTGTCCAATTTGCTGCAACTAATAAGATACCTAAAATTTCCACAAAAAAATTGTTATTGATATTTCATTTCTTTGTTTAATTTAATTGTGCTCTTTCTGTTTCCTGATAAACATCAGAATAAAAAAAAAAAGCTTCTTCTTTCTACAACAGACTTCAATGAAAACAATATATTTTACTTGGTGACAAGTAAAATGGTCTCTACCTTATAATCATCACATACCACATTTAGGTTAAATACTGTAACAATGTCTGTTTAAAGAAATATACATTTTTATTCTTTGATCCCACCAGATTTAAGAACTTCCCCAAAAGCCGCCTTAAAACAACTACAATAGGATGACAAAACTACTGTAAAGGAAACAGTCTGATAAAAACACATTGCTTCCTTCTGGATGAAAACGTTCCCACCTCCAACTTCTGGGCCTTTTCCCTGCTGAGTGGCTCCAGCGGGAAGCTCAGGTTGTTGGACTCTGACAGCGATCGCAGGTCGAAGTAGTACTTGGCGTAGACGCTGGACGGAACGTTGATGTTGAACTGCAGCAGCTCCAGGAACTGGCGCTCCAGTTCATTCCTGGTTAAAAATAAGAAACATAAAACATTTGATCTTATTCCTGAATTACTAAATGTAGAATATTTTGGGGGTAAGGAAAACAGATCTGAACGGTTCTCCAGCCACGTTTTAATTTGTCTCTTTATTACATAAATTGTTCACATTTAAAGTTCCAATAAATAATTGTTTAATTTTACATGGTGTGATTTTGAACTGTGGTGAGTTTTGCACGTTAACAGAAAAAACTGAGATTCTTAAAGGTAACATAAAATACTGCACTGCTTGCGCTTGCATGCAAATAAATCCAAAATATGTTTTTTTTTTTTTTTTTTTTTTTTTTTTTTTTTTTTTTTTTTTTTTTTTTTTTCTCTCTTCCATTTTCCTCTTTCTTTTTGTCATTTCC